GAAACTAAGAGAAATCAGCCTAAATGAGTTATGTTCAGTAGATGCGATGGGCAGTCTGGCCCTGACTGCATGAAACCTGGAAAATGGAGCAACGTTGACCTGCATGCCTCTCCGAAACCTGCAAAACAGCTCAGAAATTGACAGCCATGTGTTTGCTATGCCATAGCTTCTTAAAGGTTGCATCGAAGCAGCCGATGGTAACAGTGTGGTACCCACGGACCAGCCTCAAAAGTGAGCAATGTGTCACAATGAGTCCCGTGTCATTGTTTGCTCGTGTCCTCGCTCCGTGCAGATTCCCAAAAACTAAAAAAACTATGTCCGACGGTGAACAGGTCTGTGCTGCACATCAGTCTGACAGAAAACCCCACCCCACAACCCAAAACCCTACACGCTACGCATCTCAAGGCCCACATGCGCTCGTCATCCCTTCGCTGCCAAAACTCAGAGGGATAAGGACGGACCCTTAATGGGGACCCCTACCCTATAATGGGCGATATAATGGGTATATAATAGCTATACTAAGGATGTATACCTAGGGGTCCTTATTAAGGGTCCCTCCTTTTACCCTTGGAAAATCGAATCAAATGGCTAGATCATATACCACGGAAACACCACAACTGCCAGCTGCTGCTAACCTGGATGGCCTTTATAATAAGAATTAGCAGACCCTGTAAAGTTCACTTGACTGAAGGAGCCCCTAAGGTAAGCGCAATAATTAAATAGTAGGTACAATAGGGTTTTGGGGTCCATAGGAGATGTTTATAAAACAAGAACCCCCCAAACAGTATTGGCAATTATTTGGGCCCCCATATTAAATACCCTAAACCCTAACCCCCAAATACCTTAGACCCTACCTTAACCCGAAAAAATATCTGTTTTAGGACTTATATAAGGAAATCATAATAAGGAGCCCTGAAAGGGTCCAGGTAGACCCATATTATACTACCCACTTAAAACCCTTATACTAACCCTCATAGACCTCCTTCAAAGGAACCCCGAAAGTAGTATGGGTAACTATTATAAGTCTCCTATAGCACCCTAAGCTAAACCCTAAACCCCTTTTACACCTGGACTATATACGCATATGCCAGGAACCGAGGCACCGACTGTGCTGTGAACCCTAAACCCAAGACCCCTAAACCCAATCCCCTTAAACCTTAAACCCTAAGCCCACACAAAGCTAACTGTCAGGCTGGTCTCCCAATTCGGTCGATCACCGCCCCACCCAGCAAAGGGATCAGCAGCTTTGCCAGATTCTGCCTGGAAAATCCGAAGAGGAAGCAATCAGTCCAATAGAATCTTACAGTATTTTACAGTACGTTTTAGTATCATCATCATAACACTGACTATACTATAACACACTGTAGGATACTATAAGATACCATGATATACTAGAACTTTTCAACATCACCCAGCATCCTTTCCTAGTTGCCTGCGAGGTTTTGCATCTTTCATACATAGGGATCCTGCTCAAGGGGCATGCACTTGATCAAGAGAACTTTGGAGCTCCGCAGGGCCTGTAGCCAATTTTGAACTTCGCTTGCGGGGCTGAGGCTCAAAATCCCCCACCCTAAACCCTACCTTAACCCTGAAGAACCTACCTTTTTAAGGACTTATATAAGGAAATCATAATAAGGAACCCTAAAAAGGTAGGTTCTTCAGGGTTAAGGTAAACGCTACAGCCAGAAGGGACGCCAAGTCCAGAACCAAGGGCCGCAGATGCTTGGATTGTCGCTTCGGGCCCGTCTCAAGACAAGGAATTATATGGGTGGTTGTCAGAATTAGGGTCCCTTTTTGGGTCCCTATTACAATATGGCACCTAATATTTAGGGTACCCAAAAAGGGACCATAATATTGACAACTACCCATATAGTATAAGGGCCTACTCAGAATAGGGTTTGGGGGTATATTCCACTATGATTATAATACGGAACCCCCAAAATAGTGTTGTAACTATTTAAGCCCCTATGTTACTTTGGAATACATGATGAAACAGTCTCAACCTCCGCTCGCCCTGCCTACACCTACTAGCGTAGTTCCTGTTCTTGGACGGCCATTCTCCAAGATCTCTCGCATGTCTCCTATTCTGTTAGAGTCAAGATAGAATGACTAATCAGTGGTTGTGGGGTTCCCTTGGCTCTTTAGCTCCTTCTTTACTAGGGATTATCATCATCCCTGGCTCCTTAGCTCCTCCAATATCAACGGTTAGATGAGTCGTCGGGTGTGAGGGATGTCAGCTGCCCCTGCTGAGTTCTCAATCTGGGCTTGAAACCTTGGAGCGGCGAGGGGGGGGATGTACCGTGTTCGATTTCGGAATCTTTCTGTAAGACCTGCGTTACGCAAACAAAATTAGCTTCCGGATGTCCCGCAGGTCGGCAAAGGGCAGAACAGAGCTTGCGTAGAATGGTGCATGCACAGCTTGATCTTTTTGCACTGCGTTCATCACTGTTGGCTCGGGGGCACATTAGCACCCCAAGAAAGGCATTTTTCCCGGCGCCTCAGATCTCTTTTAGCAGCTTGCTGAGAGCGTATTGTTGCCTTGGCAATTTGTAGCAGCAGCGGCCACGATCTTGTCCATGGCCTCTTTCCAGCCACTGTCGGAGCAGCAGCCGCCGTCTTTAACGCACTGGATGAAGGTGTTATCCAGGGCGCAGAGGTCGGCGATATCCATGGTGTCGACCATGTTGGCGGCGTGGGTGGTACCACAAGTGTTGGCAGTCTCCGTATTGCAGCCGCAGCCCTGAAGGCTCAGGCACACGAAGGCAAGGACCGCAGCCAGGAACTTCGCCACGAAAAACATGGGGCAGGAGGAGACACAGAGCAGAACTGGCTTTGACACACGTCTTGAGCCGAGACTTCTAGAATGACCAGCATCGGCCAGCTGATTGACCGTCTGGCTCTTATTAGGGAATGGGGGAATGGATCCCTAAAGCAGTCCCTTTCTAATCCCCAAGAGTAGTCTCCTTAATCCATTTCCCCATTCCGTATTAAGAACGAGACAGTTGAGTTCAACTAATGTTGACCTAGGATTAATAATCCCCCTACGATTGAAGGCGGCCTGCGGGCGGCTCCGGCCCCAATCTGTACTACTTTAAAGGCAGCACCCAAATAAGGATCGTTTTTTGCAGAAAACCCCCCACGATTAAAGGCAACACCGTCTGGGGATCTAAAATTTCAAAGTGCTTCGAAGACTACTTTTAAAGGGGGCAAGACTTGGTCTAGGCCTAAACCCTTCCCCGATATTAAACTTGAAACCTCATTGGCCCCAAAACCGCTTCACGTTTTAATCCTCCAAAGTGGTGATTTCAACACTGCCCCCAAACAAGCTTTTTGAGCTATCCCCAGCAATCGTGTGTCACCCACGATTAATCAACGTCCCACGATTAATCAAACTCCTGTGGCACTGCTACTGCTACTGCTACTGCCACTGCTACTGCTGCTACTACGACTACTACTACTACTAGCACCACTGTTTACTGCAATTTGGCTTCACGGGATTATTTGGGGGTCTGTGATCCTGTGGGGGGCCTGCGACCTTGACAACCTTGAGGGGGGGGGGGGGGGGGGGGGGGGGGGGTTTATTAATCAGGGGTCAACATTATCGGCTATCTGACTCAGGAAGCATCTGCTGGCTTGCCCACTGCCTCCAACATTGCATTCGAACTCAGGTCAGTGTGGTGTCGTGCGTAAATGGCGAGTTAGCGGTTGGATGTAGTTGCTATTGTGGGGCTATTGACTTTCATCAGCATGGGCTCCTGACCGCGATAGACGCCTTCTACAGTGAGTAATTAAATCAAAATGTCTAAGCAGACGTATGAAAGCGAAGACAACCATACCCAAACAGGCTTGTTGATACTGAGCCAGGTGGCGCGGCGAATTGGGTGGCCGAGGCAAAGTGCTTCGCTTCTGGGACGCAAGACACCGCCTGGGGCCACAGTCGTAGGGGTGTGAGCGTGAGCACCGGTGTCCCTGTGTCCCTCTCGCTCTCTCAGTCTGTGCTTTTGTCTGTCTGGCATATGCATAGTCGAAACTATGGAACGACGTTATTCAGGAGCATGCTGCGTGAACTTCCAATCTCATGTCATGCCGCCTCAACCTTGAAATGATTGCCTAAGGACACAGATCGGGTGGGCTGTGCCAGTGGCTGTTGAAAACATTCTAAACTTCCTGTTGGCTTTTAAGATTACACTGTCCTAGTCGTAGTCACCAACCCACCCCAAATCCGCCACAAAGGTTGGTTACTTTAGATTGTATCTGGGTGGTATCTGTACTGAGCATCTATGCCCGGAATATTGCCATTGCACTTCGTTTGCAGACATCTGACGCGAGGTGTTTCAACTCTCTTCGTAACCTGGCATTGGGCTCATACATTCAACTGTTACTGTATGGGGGCAGTACTCGAATTCTGGGTACTCTGGGGTTTGGCGCCGTGCAAGTGCCGAGGGCTGAACCATGAAACGGTGAGGCGACTAGAACTTGTTCCGTGACTGTAATTTCGGGGCCTTCATAAATAGAGCACGGTTTCTTGACAGATTATTATAAGGGTTAATGTAAGGGCTATTATAATGATTTCAATACAGGGGCCTCAATAATTAGACTAGGGTTTTGGGGGTATATATGTTATACTATAATTGTAATAAGGAACCTCCAAAATAGTATAGGTAATTATGTAGGCCCCTATATTAGAACTTGTTCCGTGACTGTAGAGGTTGAGTCTCCCTCCTACTTAGCAAGGACGAGGCCCGCATTGCAGGGTATGACTTTAGAGGTTTAGGGTTTGGCTCCAAAGGCTGTAGTGTTTTTACACAGCTGACACGCAATGAAGCCTGCAAAGCGAGCTAGGGGGAACATCAGATTCAGCTGTATTTTGCAGCAGTTGAAGAGCTTCTGGCCTGTCCTATTGACGGAATCGTGCGCTGCAGTAAACAGCTAAATAACCCTGATGAAAACTCTGAACCCGACAATAACGAACTAAACCCATATAACCCTGATGAAAACTCTTAACCCCACCATAATGAACTAAACCCGTAAAGCGCAAACCCTGAACCCTTAAACAGCAACAGAGCCCCTAAAGCCTTCAAACCCGAAACACCAAACATTAACATCGATCTCCGAGCGTCGATGCCGTTGATCGCGGCCGTCGGTGCTGCCCCGAAGAGAAGCAAACCAAGATTGGCAGCACCGTAAATGACCGGTGAAGAGCCTGGCGTCTGGTTGCACTGATGACTGGGATTTAGGGTTGATCATACTTATACTTTTTGCAAATGCACCCTTTTCCTTTAGCAGGTTTTTTTAGAAGTTATGGGTTCTGGTTTTGGGTTTAGAAGTTCAGGGTTCTGGTTTTGTTCTGTCATAGGCTCCCTTACAGGTGTAAGGGGGAGGGGAGTTGGGTACTCTGCTAATAGGCAGAATCAGACTTCATGCAGCAACCCCCCAATAATTACGCAGGTTTCTCCCCATGACCTTTAAGCACGAAGATGCCCGGGGGTTTCTACAAACCCACTGAACCCAAAGCCCTGACCCTAAAAAACCCCAACCCCCAAACCCTAAGCTGCAGAGAGTAGGCGCAAGACTCAAATCCTCCAGAGCCGAAGCAAGAGCTCAGAGACTCGAAAATCCCTTCATTAAGGAATACCTGTAGCCGGAAGGACCTACCTTTTTAGGGTTCCTTATTATGGTTTCTATATATAGTTCCTTAAAAAGGTAGATCTTTTCGGCGTCTTTTCGGCTATAGGTATACCTTAAATCATATTAGGGATCCTATGGTATATTCCTATATTGAGGAATTTACCTTAAATCATCCAGGGATTTCCCTGTATCCTGAAATAGGGGTATAAGGTCCCAAATAAGGGGCATTTAGGGGCTAATAGAGGGTACGTGGAGGGCCCAAGATATTTGGGATCCTTTCGTAATTTAAGGTCATTCCTATTACGGGATATTGGAGTCTCCGGGAGGAAAGAGGTCTTCAAAACATTTTAGGGACCAGCACTGATAGGCCCAGGGGACTTAGTAAGAAGGAAGGTTCCAAAAAGGGTTCCAAAACCAGGGATTTTGCTGGGCTCAAAGGGTCGCTCCACTGTGCCTTGGAAGGACGGAAGTCCCCTGTTCGGGACGGCAGTTTATAAGGATTCTACAAGGGGGGTGATGATGGTTGCTGCGAAGGGACTTAGTAGGTAGGTTGTAGGCAGAGTTATAAGCACCCTAGCTGGAGTTACCCCAGTCATGACCCTAGCTATAACCGACTTGCTAAAGTCCCGTGGGCCTCCAAGCAAGCCCTGCCTCACCCCCCAAAGTAGGTAAGACAGTGGCCCAACGCCTACAAAAAGGCCATAATTGTACGTGCTTGTGGGGTCCCTTAAAGGACCCTTATAGGATCCAGGTAAATGAACCCCAAACCGCAACCTGGAAGCCTGAAAGACAGGTGGCCGAAGCAGTTGGGGGAGCCAACATCCGCTTTGGGGAACTTAGGACTTTAGGGCTTATAGACGAGTTTTACCTTAATCCGGAATAACATACCTTTTTAAGGACTTTTGTAAGGAAATCTAAATCAGGAACCCTAAACAGGTAGGTTATTCAGGGGTTAAGGTAGGGCTTAAGGTTTGTAGGGTTTAGGGTGATGGAGGTGTTTCCCGGAGATTCGTGCAAGGCTTACATAATATCCCACGAATCTCGGTAGGACCCATCCTGCCAGTGGTAGGCAACAGCCGCTGAGAAGGCTAAGAATAGCACACACCGCCTGTGTTGAAAGTGCTCGTGAGATTGGCTTCGGCCAGGGCTGGGGTTGACTTTCTTCGTTTGAAGAAGCTGGGGTGCCCGAATTTGAGTTCGACCTCTCTCTCTCTCTCTCCCTCCAGGTAGTTGCTTTCACTGGGCCCAAACAAATGGGACCTGAATTGAGAAATCTAGGGTGCTTACGCCCGTTGTTTACGTGATTTCCAAAGCGATGAGTCCGGTCGGGGACGAGAACCAGCAAGACAAGAACGTCTCATCACACCAACACGAAACCCACCCGAGACCCTGCACCGAGCCCCTGCCCCATAAACTCTGAATCCCAAGCATCCGGAAGCCTTAGAAGATCTATACGCCAGGGTTCCCGAAGCCCAAGGCCTGTAAACCCTAAGAGCCCAGGGTTGCTAAACCCGGCTCTTGTGTCATCCTCCTTGGTAACCGAGTATAGAAGGCGAACATGACAAGCCCTGGAAACTTCGACACTTAACCGCACACCACCTCCTACTAAAACAAACGGAAGGGAGAACCGTCAAAGAATCCCTGACCAAAAACCACACGAACATCTTGCAGAGCCCACCAAATACAAGCAAGTTAAAGCAATAATCAAGGCATATGTGGCGCCGTCATGGCATTGGCACGACGATAGTTGCGGTAGCCGCCGACGCTGTTCAAATAGTTGGCCTCATGTGAAGTCCAGTCGCGACGCCACGAAAAGTACATCAGCGGTTTCAAATCAACGACAAGCACGTTAGACGGACATCCCAAATGCATCCCCATGTGTAAGTATTAATATGTTCCTGAACCGTCTGGGGCTCCAGGTGTTGAAATTATGCCGTTAAAGCTGCTAAGAGAAAAAGTTGTGTCTGACCGACCCTTTGGCAGAGTAGCCCAAAGGGTAAGAAGAACAGACAAAGCCCGACCTTTCCCATTCGCCTCGATCTAAGGGCCTCCCCCAGAAAACGTAAAATTGTCTAGTGTGGCTCCGATCATGAATCCGCCCCTCATCGCAGTGGAACTGGGGCATTGGGGTTAGTCGCTTTTGGTTGTAGGGCTTCCGGCTTAGGGTTTCTTAGAGGTTTAGGAATCAAGCCCACAGGGCAGGGCCTTACAGTTTAGAGTTTGCTGTTTACTTGCCTTAGGAACCCTAAAAGCCATCTATGAACCTTCCGGGGAGGGCACAGGCCCCCACCTCGAATCTGACGGATGGCAGCTTCATGCTAAAAGCCTTGATGAGAAAGCAGATCTTCAACACCTTACCTTTGGTTAGTAGGGAATGGAGGAATCGGTATAATTACAACTACCATTCTTCCATTCCCTACTAACTGACCAAACGAAGACACTCGGGGCCCCATAGACCTTGACTGGAAACACTGCATACTGAACTTGCTAAACCTAGGTCCTGAGATGCGACGCGCCCACATCTTCACCTCAAGCCATGCCTGCACCCTCACTCCGAAACCTGAAACCAACACCCGTGCCCGCGAACAGCTTCTTGTGGCAAAGGCGCGCCAAGGATGATTCCACCGATGGGGCCCACCGTGATTACAATGCTGACCTCTGCCAAACAGCGGGCTTTGGAGTTTAAGGTTTATGGTCAGGTCCTCTAGTTCACCAACTACAGTCTTGCAATGTCTTGCAGCTGCTAGAACCAGAAACAAAAGACAATGTCATGTTTCGTGATCTCTCGGCATTAGAGAGTAACGAATTGAAAGTGCAAGGATTTGCGCGCTAATTCTTCTGGGAGGTGCTTTTGAAGCCTTTGAAAAATATTAGTAGGTAAGATCCTCTAAAGCCCAATCAAGCCCAATAAGTGCAAACATAAAAATGTCCCAAAACCCTACCTTGTCTGTCAAGGAGGGTCAAAGGTCAAAGGGTCCTCTGGAACAACGGCCAAGCACCAAGCTCTGCTCATTCGCCACACGGCCTCATCCTGCAAACAACTTCAATTTAAAACCCTGAAGACCGTAAGCCTGAACAATATTGAATCTCGAAGCAGTTAAGTCTGAAACTGTCTTTGCTTTCACCTTTGAACCCTGCCAAAGCTGCCAAAGTGCCACGATAGAGATGGTCTGAGCACTCCAGTGGAAGATTGCTCCCAAGGCTTGAGTAATGAAGTAGAGCCTTTGGTGGATGCTGGATCTGGATGTGCAGGCTACTATCCTACGGCCACGACCACCACCACCACCACCACAACCACCACCACCACCACCACCACCACCACGAAAATTGCTAGCAGCAGCAGCAGCACAAAAAGATCACGATCACTCGACATCCACTAGACTAAGACGACGACGACTGCGGCTGCCGATGCTACTGCTACGACTCGTCTTCCTGGTAGGTGCATCACACTATGGAGAAGCGGTTTCTGGATTTGGTTCCGTTTCGGTTTGGGACTCAGTCATGCTCTGCTCTGGCATGCGAGGCGCCGTACATGGGATGGATTTTTGAGCTCCGGAATGCCATAATACGTTAGAAAGATCCTGATAGCATGAACGCGCCCCACACCTTGATTCCAGACCTCGCATTTCAAACACTGAGGCTGAAGCTTCAAGTAGTCTAGCACTCGCACTCGTGCACTCAGGCGAGGTTTCGTTACAAGCCCAAGCTCAAGACCTTACCATAGTTCTAATTCGTCACGACTCTAGTCCGAACCCTCAAAACCAGCACATCAATCCCAGGGCAAACTCAGACCAAACAAATTCTCGACTTCACCACATCCCTGTGCCGCAACATGCGGGCAAGGAGCATGAAGCCAACGGATCCAGACTGGAAGCATCCCGCCGCCAATGTGCAAAGGAACAGGCCCGAACGGCCCAGTGCCCTCAGTTCCTTCGGAACGACGGACGTTTCCTGACCTGAAGGGGCGGCTGCTGGTCCTGTTCACACAACGCCCTCCAGTAAGCAAAAGATAAGCTTTGACCATACGTATTTGTCAGGACCAATCAACTGTTGCAAAGTTCGTGGACTTCGTCGAAATGAACTTGTCGGCGCCAAGCTGGGGCCAAAAACCAATAAGTGAAGTCATTGAAGTCGTAACGACGAAGCTACAACACATCCACACGAAGCTGCGCGACTACAAACATCATTGCCACATATTACCATGATGATAATAATATAATAATGACGTGGTGATCACAATAGGACTCATAATAGCAGCAGTACGACTCATCATCATCGGCCTAGAGCCTAAACCCCTAAGCCTTAACCCCTAACCCCCAAACCCCTAAACCCTATAAGCCCTATAAAAACCTTGTAAGCCATCTAAACCCTATACCCTTTAAACCCTATAAACCCCTAAACCCTAATCATCATTTCGCCAGGTCACCCGAGTCTACCTCGGCGGCTGGGGCCTCCTCGGCCTCCTTCGCTAGCTCCGGCTCGCCAACCTCGTTTCAGTCACCGTTTCGGCCCTAAGATGGACTAAGTGATGGTGGTAGTAGTCGTAGTAGTACTAGTGGGCATGTGGGGAACGTCAGGCGCTGTCTGGGCCTTTCTTGCAGCGGATGTCAAGCACCCGTGAATTCTCGACGGTTGAGTAACGATTTTCAGCTCATGCAAGGTCAGGCGTGCGTGGCGGCGGGATCTCCGAAATGTGCTGTCGATTCCTATAGTTTTGCTTTGCTCATCTGGCGAGGGACTGGCTGGGTTGTGCCTTAAACCCTTTGAAAATGATTTATGAATAGGTTCTTTTTGTAAGGAAAAAAGGGAACTTAAAAATTATCCCAAAGCAGAACCCAGCTGGAAACCTCAGACCGGTTCTTTGCAGATTCGGGCGCTTCAGTCTCAATGAAGGCTCATTTGAAGATTTCCGGACTAGGACTTTGACAACCCGCTCCATTTATGCACGCCGAGCAGTGAAATCCATCTAAGTACCAACTTCAAGCAAAACACATGTGCACCCCAGGCTCCCAACCCTTTGTTCGGCTGAGGCGCCTGGACAACATTGCTCGCAAATCGGCTTCCGCAAATACCACAGCCAAGCATGAGTAGGCCTGAACAGCACAGGATTCAGGAGATGCGCAGCCATTCCTGATGATAAGTTCCACTGTCGTACACTCGGCTAGGCTAGACAAAACATCTGTTCCTTCGGGCACATCAACAGCCGGATAGTGTCAGTGATGGCGTTCAACGGCTTTCCTGCTATATGTTGCTTTAGGCTTCAATGCTCAGGCTGAGAAAAAGCTGGGTGTTTCAGGGTTTTAGGTATCAGCCCTCCCATCTTCCCCTGGGTGTCGGTGTATTTGATTGCCCGTTCACACAGCCATATGGGCAGTTGTCAAAATTGGGGTCCCTCTTTGGGCACCCTAAATACTAGGTGCCGTATTTTAATAAGGACCCAGAAAGGGACCAATATTTTGACAACCACCCCTTTGTAAAACGACGGCGGTCAAGAGGATCGCGCCGCTCGCCGCTCCCACGCCAGCAGCAAGATCCCTCTCCCTCCCTCTCTCGCGCCTCCAAAATAACGAGTGAAGTCACGCCGGCGACTGTGGACTTGTTCGAGATGCTGATATCATCATCATCATCATATCTCCTGCTTCATACGGTTCTTCATCTCCATCTGAATCTTCATCTTCAGCTTCTTCACCATCATCATCACCACGTCCGTATTCTTCTTCGTTTCAGTCTCTAGCGTTGCCACGTCCACGCCCAGAAACGACAAAGGCCACCACCGGATTCCGGCTCTAGAAGCCCCTATTACCGAGGTCGAGGTCTTAACAAACCCAGCTGCCTCGAGGAAGCCGACTCCTTGCTTTCCAGAGTTTGCCATTTTGGGGTGCAGAAACGGCACCTGTCACGAGGATTCCACGCCTAATTCGCCTACCCCCCCCCCCCCCCCCCCCCCCCCCCCCCCCCCCCCCCCCCCCCCCCCCCCCCCCCCCCCCCCCCCCCCCCCCCCCCCCCCATCCCCCCCCCCCCCCCCCCCCCCCCCCCCCCCCCCCCCCCCCCCCCCCCCCCCCCCCCCCCCCCCCCCCCCCCCCCCCCCCCCCCCCCCCCCCCCCCCCCCCCCCGCGCTCCCTCCTTCGCCGCCCTTCTGCTCCCCTTCTTTGTTTGCTTGTTGCTTCCCACCCCTTTGCCGGGCCGGGCGAATCGTTTACAACTACACCCTCCACCAGCCACCTGACGTGTGTGTGTGTGTACAGCCCTGATAGCAAAGGGACCAAATCCGCAGGGGGGCAACCCCGTGAGCATACCTGGTTGCCCAACGAAGAGGGCCATGCCACGGCTGATACTGGGTCTGATCAACCCAGCGTACCTGCGAGTGTTTTCTGCAAGTGCTTATGGCAAGGGGCCAAGCCAAGAACCCCGATAGGATCCTTAATGTATCGCTCTAGCTACTCCCACCATGGAGTTTGCAAGTGTGTGTGTGTGGGTCTCGCTCTCTCTCTCTCTCTCTCTCTCTCTCTCTCTCTCTCTCTCTGTCTCTCTCTCTCTCTCTCTCTCTCTCTCTCTCTCTCTCTCTCTCTCTCTCTCTCTCTCTCTCTCTCTCTCTCTCTCTCTCTCTCTCTCTCTCTCTCTGCGTGCGCAGATTATGTGTGGTTTCCGGACTCTCACAATCGCATAAGCCGAGCCGGGCTTTGGGACGACTGGTCCAACAGCTTCATATACCATCAGCAAAGGAAGCTTCCCCAACAAACATGACGACAGCATTCCGAAAGTGTGGCCGCCAGCAAGGTTGCGGGTTTGTGGTTCTAGAGGACCCCGCATATCTTCAGAATACAAACATACATACACGGATTGATATATATATATATATATATACACATATTATGTGCATGCTACAAACACATGTACATTTGCATACATGTGTATGTACAAACATAATCATGATGACACATACAGAAATAAACATACGTTTGTATGTGTGTGTGAGTGGATGTGAATGAATGAATACACACATATGAATTCATACACACATATACACCGTCAAGAAGAAGACTCAAACGGCAAGACACACTTCCGAAACCGAAAACCAGAACCCAGAGCAGCTTGACCAAAAACACAAATACACATATGTTCCGAAAGATTAAGCTTGACATGTTCCAACTTTGAGCTACCGAACATTTTAAAATGCTCTTTCATCAAAGCCACTTTAAGCAACCTTAAACGCCTCTGAAAAAACGACAAACATGCATGGTGAATTGCAGTTTGTCTAGAATTGCCTCAGAGCCCCTCAGCACGAAACAGTAAACTCCCATACCCACTAAACCTACTACACCCTCGAAGACAGGTTCTGAAGTCGTAAACTTAAGAACCCTAAATCCGCGGCACCTTTCAAACATCCACTGAGAACTACAAAACCACTCACACGTGTCCTAGGCACTGCCTGCCTTCCATGAGGTACAGAAACTCCCAGCTGGCAGCCCCCGTTGCACGCGATAGGCCTCCGACTACCTTGGGTAGCTTGTTCTGTCTTTTTCGCTGGGCGCTTTGATTTCTAGCAGCTGGTCTTCGTGCTTGTAACTGCCGTCTCTCTCTCTCTCTCTCTCCCTCTCCTTCTCCCTCGCTCGTTCAGCTTTTTCCTACCCGCTCAGTTCGGTTTAGGGCGAAGTTTAGGGCTGCCTCATAGCCTCAAACGCTTCGACACTTCCGGGAGCAACAGCAACAAACAGGGTTACGGGTTTCGGTGCTCACATTCGGACAACTTAGGCGAGGCATATGATGGTTAAGGGTTTAGGGATTAGGACGCACACCACAACAACATGTGCAGCAAATCGGTCTAAGGGCTCGGCATAGCCGCTCACGATCCCCGTGAGGAGCATGGCATTGATCCCTGCCATCCACAGGGTGCGCTTGTCAGCGGGTCCATACCTGCTTCTATAGGGCCTTATGAGGATTCTATCGGGTTTTAAAGAGAGGTCTGCAGTGCGTTCTGGAAGGGTGCTTATGGCTTTTCCTTGGTTGTTTTCTGTTAGGCCTCTGGGTTGAAAGATTTGGGCTTGTTTTTCCCTCCTACTTCGCAAGGAGGAAGCCCGCATTGCAGGGTAAGTTCGGACGAACTGTGGACTACAGTGACTTCAGCTCCAGGATTCCGGAAGCTATTTCAACATGGCTTTTGGGTTTGGGATTCTAGAGTGTAGGATGGCGCATGATTGGATAGGGGCCTTAATACTTAGAACAAGGCTTTGGGACCCATTTTTCCCACCCGCCCAGCTGAAAGCATTATACTTTAGGTATAGTAAGGAACCCCCCAAAATAGTACTGGTAATTGTTTAGGTCCCTATATTAAACAGCTTTGAGTTATGAGGGCTTCTGTTCGAGAGCCAACAAAACCTTGCCAGCCTCAAGGCAGTTTAAGCTGTCCGTCACAAGCCCCCTCCTCAGGGGCTGAGAACCCTAACCTAAAAAGAGATTGACCTTTGCAATTATGGTAGGGTTATATCAAAATTATATCAGCCCCAAAAGGTTACAGGTTGCCTACTCAGCTATTAAGCCTCTGACACAAAACAGCGCATTTTCGTGCAAGGTGGACAAGTTCTGCATACTAAACCCTAAACCTTCCTGCCGCTCTGGCCACTGATCACTTGAGGCTGCGGTCTGCTAACTTGAGGCAGCTTTGGGATCGAACCGAACAAGAGGGGCGAATGTTTCAAGAGTTGCAATGGCAAGAACCGCGTTCCTCAGATCCATGGATAGGATCACCCTGAAGGGAGAGAGAGTGGGAGAGACAGAGAGAGAGAGAGTTGATATTTTATCAGAGCCACATCAACCTTGGAACTGATAGTGATGCGCATGTCCCGAGCAGTACCCACCTCAAAACAAGGCCGGAGCGTGCAAACCCTAAAACCTTAAATCCAAAAGACTGGCCATAGGCAAACAACAATCAAAGTCACATAGGCACCCTGATCAAAGCCCTGAAGCCTATATTGTGCTGAGTTGTCTGATTCAGGGATTTTAGGGTTTTGCTTCCGTTAATTAAGGGCTCTCCAGTGTAGCGATGAAGATGATGAGACTATGCAGTCAATAGGTGATAGGGGAAAAGATGACACCATGTTTTGATGCCCCTCTAGCCTGCAGTCCAAGTTGCCGATTCACCCAAGTTGGATAGTGCACGGCTGCCAGACCCCAGCACAGTCCACCCAAGGCACGCGCAGCGATGAGCGTAGGCCTTACGGACAGGTCTACACATGTGAAGCTGGGATGCACCAAACTTCATCGCAAACTCTTCATGGTAGTTGTGAATGTCAAACTAAATTAGATATCCTACTTTACACCGGGGTCGCATCGCTTCCTAACTCAATGATGTATTCGGTAACTAGCTGTTTCATATGCCAGAATATGACGACCTTGCGATCATTTAAAACGAAGGGCAACTTGCGCTCGTTGATGCCTATTCCCCTATCTTTCAAATCGAAAACCCTGAACTATATCCCCCAGACACGAAACCCCGGCACAGGCATGAGGTCAATCATCCCTAGACTTTAGAATTTAAACAAGCATCCCTGATAAGTGTGGAGTTCGCGGATATCTTTACATAAACAAATACAAGCTATACATATGTGTATATATATATACATATATATATATATTCATTTACTTGCACTTATTTTACAAGTACATATACGCATACATACCTAACTAATCATATACAGGTACACACATATACATATACATGACATGTACACATGCATATACATATACATACACATGTACATGTACATATACATGTACACATACATGTACATATACATGTACATATACATCACATAGACATAGATATGGACATGTACAAGTACATATACTTATTTGTTTAGTTGTTGAACTGTTCATTTATTTACTTATTTATGACGCTTGTCTGGATGTTAATAAAGGCCGGCCGCAGGCTGGGTCGGGAAGCGCAGAAGATCGACACCCCTGCGATGATAAAGTAGCCGGTCGTGAGTGCCTCAGTGTCTTACGGTCTTTCGGTGAACAAACAATATATATATATATATATATATATATACATACATATATATAAATATATATATGGATGGGGAGTTGTCAAAATCAGGCTCCCTTTTTGGGTACCCTAAATATTAGGCGCCGTATCATAACAGGGACCCAAAAAAGGACCATACTTTAGACAACCTCCCTCCCATATATATATATATATACATATATTTTGACTATTTATGACTTTATGTTTTCCATCTTACCTTGTATTGTATTAGCCCAGAGGGACTGGGCAAGTCTGACGCTATCTTCTTCCATGGTTGATCCATGGCTTCCGTCCTGAAGGCTGCGAGCAACTTCGACTTCTTAGACATAAAGTAAAACGGCGGATGAAACAAAATTGCCTCTTTTTGTAGCTACTTTACTTACCACGCTCCCTCCAGTTGTCGGCCCAAACCAAACTTCAAGGCTCGCCTAGAAGTCCTCACTGAAACATGTCATTGAGCCTTTGCCCGTGCTTGGCCCAAACACCCTCAACCCCCTTGAACCTAATACATGGGCCCAACCAAATCGAATTGGGTTTTAGGATATGTTTTATGGTATAACTAGTAACTATGAGGAGATACTTTTCCACTTGTTGCATATTCCAGCTTTCCCTCACAGGCGATCGCGCACTTTTATCCTGGGAGCCCGAGTCCGCGCATGCAAGCTCCTAGTATTGATGCTTGGTCTTCACCCGGATCCCCACCCAAAGTAGTGCGGGCGAAAAGTCGAAAAAAGGTCTAGGGTGCTTGGCTCGGTTTTATAAGGTTTAGGGTGATGTAGGGGCCTTAATCATCAGAATAGGGTTTTGGGTATGAATTATAGTGTACAGTTTCCTACACCCAAAGCCTGAATCTAATTACTAAGGCCCCCATGTTAGCCTAGTGAGGCTTCCTTGGTGAGGGATCGAGGCACCGACTTTCGAGTAAAAGTAATTGATCAAAGACTCGTGCCATCTCGTTTGCAGAGATCTAGTCAGCAAAGCACCCTAGAGTGCTCTTTTCTGCAACTTGCTTCCCAAAACCGACAAACCACACCAACGAAACAAACAACTTGTCAAAATCTGCTTGACAGCTACATCCCCAAGATTCTAAACTAAACAGTCTTGAAGGCCCAGTCTCCACAACCGGACTCGAATAAAACAGCCCAAAAGTTCTAGGGGCTGGAGCACTCTCAAAAGAACCCCTGAAGAACTCTGTACAGCAAAACTAATCGAACCCTCGTAGAACCCGTAAGGAAGCCCAAAGAAATAGAACTCTTACAGAAACCTAAACAAACACACAGAATCGCCATGGAATCCCTAAAGAGGAAGGATGGGCCCTAAACCCTAAACCCCTCACAAACCCTGAAGCACAAAGCCCTAACTAAACCCTAAAGCCCGCAAACCCAAAAATCCTCCAACACCCTTAACCCTGAAGAACCTACCCGTTTAAGGACTTATGTAAGGAAATCGCTAAGGTAAGCCCTAAACCCTAGAAGCTTCAGATGGCACTTCTCCGACTCTTCAACGCGAGGCCCCAAAAGGGCTCAAAGGCCGCTACCAGCGCCGGAGTAGGAGCCGTAGAAGAAGACGGCCAACCTCAAAGGCCCAACACATAGGGTTTAGGGTTCAAGGGTTTTAAGGTTTAGGGTTTCGGCGCTCACACTCGGACAAACCAGGCGAGGCATATGAGTTCGAGTCTGCAAAGTGAAACGACACTAAGAGGCTTCGTCACTACATCTCAGCAACAAAGTATAACAACACTTAAAGTAACTGTACCGATCCGCGAAACCTCTCCTTGGAATCTCTCTTGTCACAACACCAAGAACACCGGGTTTAGGGGTTGAGGGTTTTGGGGTTTAAGGGTAAGGGGTTTAGGGTTTAAGGGTAAGGGGTTTGGAGTTTAGGGTTTAAGGGTTTTGGGGCTTTAGGCCTTAGGGCTTTGGGGTTTAAGGGTTTAGGGTTTTAGTGCTTCAGGGTTTTTCCCTCCTACCTAGGAAGGACGAAGCCCGCATTGCAGGGTATAGATTTTAGGGTTTTAGGAGTTTAGGGTTTACGCTCTCACAACGCGGACAAGGGTTTAAGGTTTAAGGGTTTAGGGTTTTAGGGGTTTGGGGTTTAGGGGTTTGGGGATTAAGGGCTTAGGCATTCAGGGGTTTAGGGTTGAATCGAGCCCAGACTGAAAGTAGGAGTATGATGAAGCAATTAGGTAAACTATGTACAAAGGCAAAGAAGCAAAGCTTGAAGCAAAGTCGCATGTCTTTGAGAATCTTGCAAAGACGAGCTTTCATCATAACAGTAGAAAAGTGCGATCATGCTGTTGTTCGTGAAAATGGTCGTACGTATTAGTTGAAGCAGCAATGACCATATAAGCACTGAATCGACACAAGCTCTACAAAAAGAAAGCTCGTAGGCTCCCACGACAACGGGTTAGGGCTTTCGTCTTGCCGGTTTCGGAGTTGAAGGCACTCTGCTTCAACTCCAGCCCTATACGACCTGCGGCTGCTCCCGTGCAGCCTAGTCGCAAGCCCACAGCCGCAGTGCCGGCAAGGAGTCCGAGGAATACCAGAGGGAAGCGCGTTGGCTCACCGCCTGTGGCCGCCATGCTCACCTGAACTGAAAACTGCTGGTTGAAAGGTATCGACTGGATACCCACGTTCCAGCTGCCAAGCGCTGCTTACGTGACCCTGGCTCGACACCACCGTTGGTCAAGATACGCACAGACGAACAGGACCTAATCCCTGCAATTCAACCCTATAAGCCCCAATCGACTCTTTTATGTAAGTCTGTCTCTATCCAGAAAGGAGGGCCCCCACTGTGCCTGGATGCTGCGGCCTTCCTGCTGGACGTTGCCCTGGGCCAGCATGGATGGGTTCTCGTTCAGGGACGCACCGCGCAAGGCCTGCGGAGCCATGAAGCCTCGGTCCAGATGCTGTAAAAATCCTGCGAAAAGGGTCCGAATGCTCAGACAAATCATACTTCACATGCCTGTTGCGGCGATATTTCGGCCTCCAGGAGTAACAGTAGGGTCTCTGACATAAACACTGCGGTAACCCGGTAAAGCTTCCGGCCTATATTGCATAGGGATTCTGAACATAAGGCTAAGAGCAGCTCGAGTCTGTTGCTGCACTGTTGAGGCCGTCGTTTTAGCACCGGGTTTGCTGACCCGCTGCCTGCTTCTGCTGCGACTGCTGCTACCTGCTCCTGCACATCATCGTTTTCCAGTTGCACCGGTAAAGCAGCCAAGAGGCTCTCCTGTGCCGGCAGCAAAGAGTACATTGCCACGGCCAGGAGGGCGATGGAGAGGAGGTTGCAGGCACGCTTCGCCATGACGAGTCGAAAAGCTCTCACTCGGCGTTGCTTGCACGATGATCGCAAAGGAGGCTTGAGCCGGCGCAGATGCGACAACAGCGAAAACGGGGCAACGACAAAGCCACGACTGTGCTAAATCCTGTCCAAACCGTGGCTCGCAGGAACGACAACTTCACCCAAATCATGCGAGAATCACTGCAGTGCCACTCCCAAATGATTCCAAATCGGCTTAGAGCCGCAGGCTACGACTCCTTGCCGAGGGGCCGAGAAAGCAGAGAAGCGGCGGAAAACGGCCATTGCCAGCAGCCCACTGGGAACTATGCCGTAGTCCTGGGGTTTCACAGTTTGAGGGTTGCCGACGGCCAAAGCCCCGTACAAATCATCCATTCCACAAATCCAAAGCTATACTATACTGCACTAGACCTGAATAAATGGAACCGAGCCGTTACGCAGGCAAACACACCTGCGGGGAACGAAAACCTCATCGATTTGCTAGCGCAACTCAGGTTGGCAAGCAACTTCTTGGGCCAGGGCGCAGAAGTCTGAGGGGCTATCTTTTGAGACGACATGACAAACGACCTCCCTATCACAGAACACATACATGCTTGCGTACCCTGCTAACTGTGCGAATGATGCGCGTGGTCAAGGAACATCTGTACGCCTGTGGCATAATGCGTAGAAAGGCAGCAGGGCACACAACAAAACGGAACTACGATAGAGAGTCTGGGTAATCTTGTAGGAGGTAAGGAGCACGAAGCTTCCCATCCAACGTCCGCCGACCCGGCCCAGACACAGCAACAAAATATTTCAATGCTGAAGCACGAAAGTTGTTCTCCGTTCTCCAAATTAAACCTCTCTCTTAAGGCTCGTATCAAATGAAGGATGCCAGAGCTTTCGGTACGCCAATTGGAGACCCTTCTGGAGGACAATGCACTTGTCCTGACCCATATCTCACTGGCCCTAAAACCTGAAGACCTTAAACCCTGGACTCTAACTCGAAACACTCCCCCCTGAACCCGAGAACTCCTAATCATCCCATGGAAGCCCAATCAGAACCATGTAGAAAGCTCAGAGGAAGGAACGCATGACAGAACCCTGTAGAAATCTTGAACTGTATGTTTAATCCTAGACCCTGAACCCAAAACCGACTAACAGGAGGACGAGGCGTCGGGTGAGCCGGCGACGTTGCCCTGGCTGGTGTAAGTCAGATGAAGGCCTGGCGTATCTAGGACAGATTCGTCTTAGTCCCGTCAGCTCTCATGTCTGATCACCATGATCATTTAATTTAGAAGATAGTGTAACCATCAACACCCCGGTATATATGTACATACGTAATGTATACACACATAAATATATATATATATATATACATATATATATATATGTATGTGTGTGTATGTATGTATATGAATATGTAACTGTATACGTATAGACAGATGTTCATATTATGCTTATTTGTGTGCATCATTCATGTTCTTGGTTGGGAGTAAGAGTATGGCAGGTCTCTGTAAGAGGGACGCAAGGGTATATGTTTGCGGGTGCTGGGGTTCGGGATTCGGGCGGATGATTTGAGGTTCATGGGTTAAAACATCGACAAGGGCTGATGACTCCGCAGCGTCAGGCCCGGCAAATTCATGAGTTGTGCGGCTTGTTGGACGGACACAGTCGACGGTGAACTCCTAGCTTCCTCCAGTGATTGCTGAAGTTACGCTTGAAGCTTCCCCCGCAATCATAATATCGAGCGGGTGGGTGAAGCGTATGGGCATACAGGTAGTAGTCATAGTCTCCTCGGAGACTGTGTGGTATCAGCGAAGTGAAGCTGCCATGGAGGGTGAGTCTGAAATGGATCCGGCTTTGGAGCCCCTCCTCTTCTAGACACGGCAAACTTCAGCCTTGAATTCCGAAACCTTGCTCCCTAAGCCTGGATCCAAGCCCAAGCCTGCTCTGATGGCAGGCATCATGGAGGCCACCACGCCCGCTTCGAAGCTGCGGACGGCCGTGGACAAGAGGATGAACCTAGGGGTTTGAACACGCTCACGCGAAGCAGGCACGGGTTCACGCAGGTCAGGCGTGCTACCGCTACATCAACGGTGGGGACCCTCGCGGATGAGAGTACAAAGGCGACAAATGGACATCAACAGAGCCACAGCTACGCCTCATAACTAACTGCAGTCATCCATGAGTGTCCCGCTTGAACAAGCAGCGAGGCTAAGCGCAACAGGCTATACCAAAACGCAACCAGTAAACACCGTCATACGGCTTATACCATCAATGTAGGGCTTTGAGTGAAGGGTTGCTGCCGAAACATTCAATCAAGCATAAACACCGTGCGTAGAACCGGCTCTCTCGCAGAAATGCAGCTCGCTGTGGCTCACCTGTAAGCTCCATTGAAGATCCTTGCTTGGTTGCTTTGGTTCCTTGTTGATTAATGTTAGATCCTAACCATAGCATTGGTTAAGATAACACCGGCACTATATGCTGAAGCGTTTAGGCAAAGTGCATGCCAGGAGCATGTAGTATCTGCCTATGGGGGCAGGCACCGGCTGCGATTCGCCTGAACAGGGGGCTTCTGTTGTTTTGTTTTGAGCTCCGTTTAGGAGTTAGGGCCAGGGGGACCCTTAGAACATCTCAACAATGTCTCTTTTTTCGGAGAGCCGGAAGTAGGGTTAAGAAGGTTCCCCTTGAAGGGTCGCCCTAAAACCACGCATGACCTTTTCCGTCAGCCTGTGCCGTCTGCAGGGTTGGGGGTTTGTGCATTGAGGAAGGGCAGGCTGGAACAACTTCACTCAGAGGGCCCAGGCCTACTTCACATCTCTTAACCCTACACCCTACACCCTAAACCCCTGAACCCTAAACCGGAAAACCCTCACAACATTCCCTGAACTCTACATCTGAATCCCTACCGATCCCTATCACCCACCCAACAAAAGACAGAAGCACTAGACGGGCCCTTAACCTAGACCCCAAATACTAGCCCTGTACTTTAGGAGCCATAACAATTAGAACAGTGAATTGGGCTATGATTGAGGAGCCCGGCCCGAACCACTAGTCTTGGCAATTATTCGGGGACCCCCATGTGACCCCAAACAGTGAATCCACTCGAAACGCGCATCCTCCACCCTTTTCACCACTGGGCTCAAGTCTAGCCAGACCTTCCCCTAAGCCCTTAACCCTAAACCTTTACACTGATCGGTCGGTCGGACAATAGGATGGGTGCATGGATAAATGGATGGATACCCATAGGCCCAAAAGTAGTTCCTTTTTGGGATTACCTTCTAGGATTCTAAATACGAACCCCAAAAAGGAACTACTTTGGGGCCTTAGGGTAATGCCCGAGTGGGTAGATCCCGCTTCGAACCCCCGAAACCCTAGGCATCTAAACTCCTGAGCACCAACCTCCGAGGTTTGCTCTTGACCGGGAGGGCTGGGGACTCTCCCAAAAGTCCCGCAACCTGCGTGGAATACCAAGCGCAATGATAACTTTGTAACCTGCAGTGTAACGCTAGTTTAACCCCAATACGGTACCGTATCGGTCATTGCCCTAGACTTGAAACATCCCAAACCCGAAACAGCGCCTTTGCCCTTGGCCGCTGCGCTCCCCCGCGTCCGCCGCGCTCTGCGCACAATGCCCGCGGTCAGGAGGCCAAAAGCTGCTGCACCTGCTTGAGATTCTTTTTTGTGAGGGCCCTTTTCCTCCCTGCTACAGTCGAAATACCTATAGGTAGAGCCTGTTACGAGAACCTTTGAGAGATCCATAGTAGCTTGTAGTTTAGGGCTCAGGGTCGATAGGGCGTGGTATCCTAGCCGGAGTGCTGGGATTTAAAAGTATGCAATCCTCCTGGTGGTCTTAGTTCTGCGGTGCAGCTTACATTGAAGTTGCACTCGTCATTGTTGGTGCCCGAGTAGATCTTGAGCTGTCGCCGGTAAGGCCCGTTGAATATGCAGACCCTACGAATGCAAGAAGAAGCAGGGACAGTCGGAACTTAGGCCACTGTTCTGAAGCAAATCTAGACCATTACACACCAGCATCGTAGTAAGTTGATCTACAATGATCTACCGCGGCCTTGCATACTTGGCGGGGAAGCTGTAAGCCCTTGATGGGCCATGTGGTTTGGCCTGCAGCCGCAAGCCTTGTAAGACGCAAGTTTAGGCAAGCTCGGAAATCCTTGAGTCCTAATGCCCTAAACCCTTCGAAGCCTCAATACCTATGACCCCAAGCCCTGTGGCGAGCCCTAAACCATCGGCGAGGTACTGCAGCTTCTTCCGCAGGGTTTGACACCATGTTTCTTCAACTGCGGAGGGCGGAAGGCCAAAAGCTCATCCTGGACAAGGAGAGTTAGGGTCTGGGGCTCAGGTTTCAGGGAGCGAAAAAAATGTACGATCCAAGGTTGAGATCGATGCACGTGCGATGCACGTGCCTGCACGCCATTCCCGAAAGCCAGCTCTGCAGACAAGACAACTTTCAAGACAGTTTGGTTTAGTTTTAACATTGCGTTTCAAGCTTTCGGTGTTTTGAGTTTGGGTCGGCGCGCGACTGTTGCGGTTTGCAGGTAGCGTTCGGACGCACTTGGACTTAAGATGTATACGGCTGATCTTCAGTCAGGACTAGAGTAGCGGCCTTAATTATCAGAATAAGGTTTGGGTATGTTATATCATAGTCATAGTCACAATAAGGAACCCCAATAGTAGATTATGATTCCATTTTGTTTCTTCTTCAGGGAGCTTCGATTCTGTCAAACAGCTCTCAGGTTCCTCCCAGAGTAAAACAAAAGCGCGACCTAAGGTTTTGGTAGAGTTTTTTTTCATGTGTTTAGTGCCCTTTTCCTCCCTGCTACAGTCGGAATACATAGTAGGTAGAGGGTTTCGGCGCTCACACTCGGACAATGTAGGCGAGGCAAAGGTAGAGGGTTTAGGGTTTCGCGTGCTGTTTTGACGGAGTGCTGGCAGGGCCTATGACGCAGGTGGATCCCGATTGCCGCTCAGTAAAACTCAGGGCCTTTTTAGAATGTCAATAGGGTTCTGGCACATGTTCTACTACAGCTATACCCTAAATCCTAAACCGTATAAGCCCTAAACTTTCTAGACCCTGACCTCCACATGACAGGAACCCCTTAAGTGTCCTGAAACCGCGGGTCAGATCCCTCGGCGGCGAGTGGGTGCCGAGGCCGTAGACTCAGCTCCCTAGCAGCGGGAGCGCTCGCTGCTGCCATCATCTTATATTATAACAGTTTAGAGTTTAGGGTTTATAGGGCTTGTAAAACAGAAGAGTAAGGGTAATATTTTTTGCCTCCTGCAAAAAGTAAGGGTAATAGTAAGAGTATTGGCAAGTA